CGCCCGGGGCTCGCGCCCCTGCTGCCCCCCCGGTTGTTACGCCACTGAGTGTAGGGATAGCATACCATAACACGCAGGAGTGCCTAGACACACTTACATACCATACCTATTCTGGAATTCATCCTGAAAAAAAGAAGTGCATAGCTATTTTTCAGAAGCAACCCAAGACATGTGCTAAATTTTAGGGTTGCCACCTGTCCAGGATTCACCCGGACAGTCCGGGTTTTGAATGCTGTGCCCGGGTTTCATGGCAGCAGAAACCCGGACACAAGATGTCAGGCAGACAGGGGCAACCAAAATTAAGATAGGGTCTACTGGCCTCCTACTAAAAATAGTCTCAACTGTGATATTTACATATGAATGGGGGGCTCTATTTACATATGAATAAGCCACGACTCATTCTCCCAAAAAAAGAAGAAAAGGTGGCAACCCAAGCTTAGACACAACTAACGTCTCTAGATATTCCCTATAAGATAGCAAATCTTTTCTTTTTAAGATCAGGTCCATGTTAAAGGAGAACTATGAGGTGAGTGCTTTTCACTCACCTCATAGTTCTAGCCGACCTGTGACAATGAGACTGTCACAGGTCGGCTCAGTAGATCGGGAGGTGAGCGAACACATACCGGCGATCCTGTCACGGCTCTCTGCCGTGACAGGGGAGGGGCTGGCTTCGGCCCCCCCCCGCTCCGATCCACCAGCGCTGACTGGCAGGACCGGATGGGGGAGGGGGCGGGGACAGCTGGCTCTGCCTCTAGATAGGCAGAGCCAGCTGTCAGTCACGCAGCTGGGCTGATCCAGACATAATTGTTGGGATCCGCTTTAGCTGCGGCGTCTCAGTATACTACAGCTCGTGGAATACTGAGCCTAGGGTGACGGGAGGACGCTAGTTTGTGTCCTCCCGTTACCCTAAGGAGAACTATGGGGAAAAGCCTTAACCCCATAGTTCTCCTTTAATATCTCAGAAGGTTTATTGAAATGTTTATAATATAGATGTATATACTGAATAAATATCCGCACAGGAAGCATCTGACGCAGCTTTCTATCATTTTTCTGGTGTTGGGCTTTACAACGCTTGGCAGCCGGAGTGCTGAATATAACAGCATGTTAATAAAAAGCGGCGGACTTGTTCTGCAATTAATTACTGTAACGTTGGGCGAACCCGTAAAAAAAAACAGATCATCTGATTGGAGACAACAGCAGCCCTGGGAGGCAGAGGAGAGCGCTGAAGAGGCGCGCACTCCCGCAGGATATATCTGCCCTCATACATAATGGATGTGTCTTCTGGCATGATTCTGATGAGGGTAAAAATAAACCTATACAATCATGCCGCAGCCAAGCTGCCGGAGCATTATTTATGTCATCCCCACACTGCCGATAGACGCCACACTATTTATTATCTGTAAATATATATAGTGGTAAGCTTCAATAGCATTAAGGGCTAGTTCACACCAGCCCCAGTGCCTTCCGGCCCGATTGGTGCCGAACTGCACTGGATAGGATTTCCCTAACTATCCACACCAATGTAAAGACGCAATCCCAGGAGGGGCTTGTGCTGCGTGTAATAGCGTGCAGCAGCCTGTACCTTCCTATGGGAGGACACAGCTACATGCGGTTACATGCAGTCCTGAACCTGCACATCCGTGCACGTCTGTGCCCAAGTGCAGGCACCGGGACCTGTAGGCAGGGCCATCTCTTTATTGGGGCAGCCTGAGGCTGTTGCCTTAGGCGGCATCTCTTTGGGTCACATGGGGGTGCAGCAGGCAAAGTGGCAGGGCTGCTCTGCTGCACAATGTTTGGAGTGTACCTTTCCGGCCAAAACATCCCAGGTTGCTAGGAGCCAGGTGGGGAGATGTGTAAGGCCCCTTCGCAACCTGAGACGTTTTGGCTGACATCCCACCCAGCTCCTGGCAACCAGTCACTGGTTGCCAGAAGCTGGGCGGGACATCGGCCAGAGCATCCCCGCTTGCTAGGAGCCGGGTGGGGAGATGTGCATGGCCCTTACACATCTCCCCGTCCCAATGACTGCGTGCACCACAAGCATCCCATCGCTCGCCCTCCCTTTCCAGCCTCAGGTGGCAAAAAGGGCTTGGGACACCCATGCCAGCATGGATGTGCAGGCTCATGTCCATGTGTAACTGTGTATAACTGCGTGCAGCATATCCTCACATAGGGACGTACAGGCAGCTGCATGCAATTGCACAGAGAACCTGTCCCTTCCGGGATTGGGCCTTTGCACAGGCGTGCATGCTGTCCGGACATGCACGCCCATGGGAATGAGCCCTAACAGAGATTTACCCTCACTTCCTGCTCTAGGAACAACCTTATACCCAGACAGGAAGTAAAGGAAACTCTTCAACAGCAACAAAGACAGTAAGACAAAGTAAATATGTTTTGTAAGTCTATGTGGGCCGCAGGCATCATTGGTTGAGCTGCACAGTGTCACTGGTTGCTAGGATGCAGGTGGGTGCACCATAGCAACCTATGACACTGTGGGGCCACCAGCATCTTAGCAACCAATGGCACTTGGGGCATAGCAACCTATGACACTGTGGGGCCACCAGCGTCTTATCAACCAGTGACTTGGGGCCTGCACAGCATCTTTGGATGACTGGTGGCTGCACAGCGTCGCTGGTTGCAAGGAAGCAGGAGGGTGCATCCAATGATGCTGCAGGGGCACTAGCATCTTGACAAACTATGACATTTGCGGCCCACACAGCATCATTGGTTGACTGGTGGCTGAGCCGCACAGTGTCATTGGTTGTTAGTATGTAGGCGGCGTATCATAACAATCAATGATGCTGAGGGGCTGCTAGTGTTAAAGCAAACAATGGCGCTGTACGTGAATAGGCTGCATTAACACAACACACGTTAATGCGTACTATAACGTTTAAGTGTATGAATGTGCACATACATGCAGAGAGCGGCAGATCCTGTCAAACCTGTCATTGCTTTGTACAGGCTGAGCGACTTCAGCTTTCTGGAACCCCCAGTGATTCCTGCCACAGCAACCACAGCTGGACATAAAAGCCCTGGGTCAATGAGGCTTAAGAGTTGTCCCCAGAAGCAGATATGATTGTAAATCTTCCGATGGGGGACACCTGTTCCCAGGACAACTGGCTAAGAAGGGAATTTCCCTCACATAGAGAGTTCCTCTAACTTTCTGTTGTGTCTCTCAGGCAGGAAGTGAAGGGAAATGTCCTCAGTGGTACACAGACAGCAAAAATATGAACTGATATGGACTTTAATCCTTTTGTCTTCTATCTACAACTGACAAAAATATAAAAGCTTTGGGTATACATACACTTTAATTAATTTGGTTTAATGTGGGTAACAGGAGAGTACAAGACGTCTGTTGCCTGGATACCGTAGCACTTTTTACCCAGACAGGAAGTAAAGGTAGGGTCGCCACCTGTACGGGATTCACCCGGACAGTCCGGGTTTTGAATGCTGTGTCCGGGTTTCATGGCAGCTGAGACCCGGACACATGATGTCAGGCAGATAGCAACCAAAATTAATATAGGGGCTACTAGCCCCCCACTGAAAATAGTCTTGACTGTGATATTTACATATGAATAAGCCACAACTCATTCTCCCCAAAAAATCTCTATACGTCGCTAGAGTGTTCGGGTTTCACTGAAAGAAAAGGTGGCAACCCTAAGTAAAGGAAACTCTTCAACAGCAACAAAGACAGAAGTAAATATGTTTTGTAAGTCTATCAGGGGAATGCTAGAATCCCTATCAGCTTTTTTTATGTTCCTCAAAGCGTAAAAATAAAGCATTTTGGGGGCTCACTGCACACCCCTACATCAGGGATAGCAAGGAGTTCAGGTTGACCATGAGTTTGACCTGAACCCATGCTGTTCACACTTCGCTGGACAGGCGAATTAAATGGCAAGTTAGCCCAACCTCTGCTGTGTGGGCCGCAAGCATCATTGGTTGAGCTGCACAGCGTCACTGGTTGCTAGGGTGCAGGTCGGGGCACCATAGCAATCACCATTGGCTCCTATTCCTACACACAAGAATGGGCCAAGGAAGTAGCTCCTCCATGGCACACCTAAGGCACAGGATTTATACGTTTCTTCCATGCAGAGTGCCCATCCATCTCCCTGTAAGATATTCACATGCTGAATAGTAATCTGGACAGGTTTGACCAACCCGTCTCTGTTATGGTGGGCATGGCATGACACCATATGGCTGCAGTGTAGGCATGCCAGGGCAAAGGTTAAAGGGAACCTGTCACGAAGTGTTTCTAGTGTTGACAACATCCATGCTTAAAGGAAAACTATGGGGTTAGGGCTTTTCCCCATAGTTCTCCTAAAGGTTACGGGAGGACACAAACTAGCGTCCTCCCGTCACCCAAAGCTCAGTATACCGCGAGATACAGCTCGCGGTATACTGAGACGACGCAGCTGAAACGGATCCCGACAATTATGTCTGGATCCGCCCAGCTGCGTGAGTGACAGCTGGCTCTGCCTATCTAGAGGCAGAGCCAGCTGTACCCGCCCCCTCCCCCGTCCGTTCTGCCAGTCAGCGCTGGAGGATCAGAGCGGGGAGGGGGGAATCCAGCCCCTCCCCTGTCACGGCTCTCTGCCGTGACAGGATCGAGAAGTGATCGAGCGCCGGTATGTGCTCGCTCACTTCCCGATCTACTAAGCCGACCTATGACAGTTTAATTGTCACAGGTCGGCTAGAACTATGAGGATGAGTGAAAATCACTTGCCTCATAATTCTCCTTTAAAAAAAGAGGGGAGGAGGGTGTCTGTAATGTGCTATAACAGGGGTAGACAACCTTGCCACGCTAGCTGTGGTGAAACCACAAGTTCCATCATGCCTCTGCCTCTAGGAGTCATGCTTGTCTTGCAATGCCTCGTGGGACTTTAGCACTATAGCATTGCTTCTCCCCTGG